TAAAAGGGGGTGTCAGAGTCTGCTTTGTGCTCTCATCCCGATCTTGCATCAAGACGTCGTCTCAGTGTTTTCATTCATGAGAGACCACCACAAATGGTGACCCCGACGTGATCATCTGCGAGGTGGTACGTCTTTGGACCATCCATACTCATCAGCTGGCATAGCTTGGGTATACCTCATCCCTGATTCGGTCGCAGGCGATCGCCGTGGATCCCTCGTGAGTATGGGTGGAGGATTCTCTCAGGACCAGAAATTGCACATTGAGGAACTAAGAGAATTAACCAAATGAAATTTTTTTACCTTTAAAAAGGGGGGCGCCCTTCATGCCCCCCTCACAAAAACCTCTATTGAGGAACTCCTACAATACATTTGGCAACACTGCCCTTCTTATCCGGCTAAAGGCAGTATCAAAGCTACAGTATGGAAGGAGATTGGAAAGTACCTTCACGCAAGTCCTAGAGCCCCTTTGTCTATATTAATTGCTTGGAGGGTGGTTTTTGAGGCTCTCTCCTTTCTAGAGCAACCCCTACTTGCCCCCATTTCTGGACCCCCTCCCTATGTGAATTCTGCTGTACAACTCTTGCCCCCCGCTGTGACGCCTGTGTCTCTTAAACCGACTGCCCCCCCGGAGGCAAATGAGGTCAGTAAATCTCCCCCGACAGCTCCAGCTATGCAAGCAGCTTTTCAAACAGGACAGCTGGAGGGGGGGGGATTGACTCCATGCAATTGTTTCCCATTCAGAGGCAAGTTGATAATGCAGGAAATTTACAGGCTGTCTGGAATCCACTGCCTTTATCTCTTTTACGGGAAGTAAAGAAATCTGTGTCCAGGGTTTGCTTCACAGTCTGGGGCAAGCTCAAAAGATGATTCCACAAGATTGGAAAAATTTAATGAGAATAATTCTGAACGGGACACAATACGTGGTACTTGATGCAGAATATCAAAGAGAAGCAATTAACAGAGGAAATAATTTAGGGGGTTTGTATATACCTGATCAAATCTATGGGGCAGGGCAGTTTGCAACTGTGGAGCAGCAGGCAATAAATTTGCAGCCTTTGGTCGCGTGGGGGGAGGCAACCTTGGCAGATTTGATTAAAGCTTGTGCTGTAGTAAGTTTGCAATTTTATAACATGGAGAGCTTGGCTGTAGCTTTGCAAAAGGGTCTTAAACCTACTGGGAATTGCTTCAATTGTGGGAAGCCTGGGCATTTCAAAGCCCAATGCCGGGCCCCAGAGGGAGGTGCTGCTTTTTTTCAGAAGAGTTGGCCTTGCCTCGTTCCTCAGCTTCTATGAAAGGATTTTTGTGATTCCAGGGATTATTGATCAGGATTATACAAATATTATAAAAATTCAATTTTATTCAGATGTACCTGCTAATCTTGCAGCTAGAATGACTCACCCTCATGCCCTCCTCAAAGGAATCTCTGTGGTTCCCGATCTGCTTTATCCTTTCTCAAAACTCTCAGCCATTAACCTTTCTTTTTTTTTTTAACAAATTTTATTAATTTTTAAAGAAATACACAGAAACACAAAACATAAAAGCATAAAAAATCTCTTTTCTGAAAGTTGCTTAGTCCCGGGTCAAAACTCTTCGTACAGACACAAATTCAAATTCATATTCATTTTGCATACCATTCCATATCTTATTGGCATTTTCGGTTTTCTGCGTAGCTTCTCCTCTCTTTTAAGTTTTCTCAATTTTATTTTGTTTATCTCCTCTCAATTTGAATCATAGTGTTTGTTATTCTTTGTCTGTTCTATTTCCAGCTATCCATTTATCTTTCTTCTTTGAAGAAAAACTTCTCCTGTGCACTAAATGGAGTATGATGCCTTTATCTCTTTCCCCTATGTTTATAATACTTAATATAGAACACATAACTTGCATTGGGATTCTGTCTGGTGCGTTCTGAAATTATGCAGTATTGTCAAAACCAATACAGGTTTATTCATTAGTGTTGACAATCATTTATGTCTTAAACATTTTACCCCTTTCGGTTAGATATCATGCCTTTGTGGGAATACTTATGCTTTCCAAAATTGTTTCCCCCCCCCCACATCCCATGTCTTAAATCATTGTTTCATTACAGTACTCCCCTTTTCTTGGCAGGGATTTCACTAGATTATACTGAGTGTTTTGTCACATTTTGAATTACATATTGTTTCCAATTTTCTATGGTTATTTCTGGATGCAGGTGTAGAAGTGCAGTCTTGTGTGCCTTTCTGGAATCCCCTTTTCAGTGGAATTTGTCCATTATCTCTGGAGAACTTTTGCTTCTTTGCATCTTGCTCCCCACCATTAAGGCTTCTCATCTCTTTCTTTCTCCCTTGCTTCTTCTTCTCCTTGTCCTCTTTACCCCCTTGTCTCTCCACCTCCCTTTTTTCCTTCCCCAACCGAAGTCACTTGTTCATCAAAGATGGCTTC